CCTAAAAAAATAAAAATAAAAAACCCAAACACCCATCTTCCCCGACTCCTTCCCTGCAAACCTAGATCTCACCCACGCCAACATCTCTTCCCAGACCCACCTTGTCCTTCTATGCCGCTACCACGTCATCCTCCTCCTCCTCCTATCCAACCCCCAAACCCAAATCCTTAAACCCTAATTGCACCCTCCTTTGCAAGCACTCGACGTCGGCCACCCTCGACCTCCTCATCCTCATTCTCATCTTCTTCTCTGCCTTATTGTGCTGCTGTTTCGAGCGTGATGCGAATGCTCAATGGCTAAGCTCAAAGAATTTAGGGTTGGATAGGAGGAGGAGGATGATGATGTGGCAACGGCAGAGAATGAGGAGGTGGATCTGTGGGGAAAGGGAGATGTTGGTGTCATATCCCCGCCCGGGTCCACCACTGTAGCACGATATTGTCCGCTTTGGGCTTACCATTCCCTCACGGTTTTGTTTTTGGGAACTCACGAGCAACTTCCCAGTGGGTCACCCATCCTGGGAGTGCTCTGGCCTCCTTCTCGCTTAACTTCGGAATTCCTACGGAACCCGAGCCAGTGAGCTTCCAAAAGGCCTTGTGCTAGGTAGGGATATGAATATACATTTAAGGATCACTCCCTTGGGCGATGTGGGATGTTACAGTTGGTGTGGGTGGGAGTGGTTTTGGATTTGGGTTGCAGGGAAAGGGAAGGGGTCAGGGAAGATGGGCGTTTGGTTTTTTTTTTTTTAAGGGTAAATTATTATTTTTAATATTTTATTATGTTTTTAATAGAAACTGGGCCCCACCTCAAGCCACGTCAACATTTAACAGATGAATTGACAGACAACTGACCGAATGTATGACATTGCAACAAATTTGAAGATAAGGTATGACATTGAAATTTTTTAAAGATGGGGTATGAAATTGTGACTGACCCAATAGTTGAGGTAATTTTATGTAATTTACCCAAAAGTCTTCATGAGTTAAAACCTCACATGCATGTAATTTTCCTTTGGCTCAATTAATTTTTTTTTTTTTTTTTTTTGTCGAAAGATAGAATTATATTGATCAATCAAATACGAATGGAAACATTTGCACTTTTGCTAAGATATTAAACATAAATTTTGGTCCTAACTCATCCCTGCCCAGACTCCTGTGATTAGGCCTAGCAATTCCTTACACGACTCGATAAGCCGACACGACACGAAATTAACAGATGTTCGGATCGACACGATAACGAATCGGGTCGTTATTGGGTAACCCGATAAGCACCTGTTAAGATAACGGGTTGGTTCGGGTATACACGTGGGTAACACAATACACGATAAGCATAAATTAATTTAATAATTTTATAACCCTAAAGAATACTATAATTATATATATATATATATATATATATTAAATTAACTATAATAATTATAATAATTATATATACAATAATAATATTAACTATAATTATATATATATATATATATATAATTTTAAATTAAATTTTATACCCCTAAAAACTATAATAATTATATGTACATAATAAATAGATTTAAATCTACTTAATAAATATATATATATATATATATATATATATACCATTGAACTTGATGGGATACGAATTATATAAAACTAATTTCAACGATCCAACCGTCACACTTGTTTATATATGCTTCGAGATTGCATCATTAAAAAAATCGCAAAAAAATAAACATTCAGAGATCAAGTAACGGGAAAAAAAACGTTTTGATGGTTATAAAAAGAAAAATCACGATTTAACGGTTATTTTAACTCTGATTTTTATGATTAATTACAGCTACACTCCTTGACCCTATATGAATACAATGAATGAATTCGATCTTCAATTTAAAATATTTACACTAGTGGATACCACAAAATCTTATGTTATACTTAATGAAAGTATGAATAAACTCTTAAGTGTTAGTAAATCTATTGTTTTGATGGGATATGTATTCTACAAAACTAGTTTCAACGATCCAACCGTCAAACATGTTTGTATATACTTCGAGATCGCATACGGCAAAAATTGCAAAAAACAAACATTCAAAGATCAAGTAACGAGACAAAACTTTTTTACGGTTATAAAAAGAAAAATTATGATTTAACGGTTATTTTAACTCCGATTTTGATGATTTTTTTTTTACAGCTACATTCTTTGACCCTATATGAATACAATGAATGAATTCGATCTTCAATTTAAAAAATTACACTAGTGGATACCACAAAATTTTATGTTATACTTAATGAGTATGAATAAACTATAATAATTATATAGATTAATTTAACAATTTTATACCCCTAAAAACTAAAATAATTATATATATATATATATATATATTAAATTATGTGGTTTAATGTTTTGAAGTAATATTTACGTGGAAAAGTGTGGTATGTGCAAATTTAAGAAAAAAATATATTTTTCTTAACGGGTCATAACGGGTTATAACGGATCGGGTCACTTTACCCGTTGGGTAAAGTGACCCGACCTGTTAAGAACCTGTTAAGATAACAGGTGTGACACGACACGACCCGTTAAGATAACATGTGTTACACGAAAACAACACAAACACGACTAACACGACCCGTTTGCCAGGCCTACCTGTGATGCTTATGAACATACGCAGCCACCATATGGGCTGCACGATTACATTGATAAGGAGTGAAGATAAACTTCACCAACCGGAAAGAAGGCATCATAGCCCATATATCAACCAAATAAATCTACATTGACACGTCTGCTTGAATCTCCTTATTGAGCATTTGAATCAGCCCCTTCGAATCGGTTTCCACTTCTAGCGCCACCCCTGACTCCGAAAGACCACTTTGAACGCACATCTTAAGCCCCTGACGAATCACCACCACTTCAGCCATAACAGGCGATAAATACCTATCCCCACCCTTCCCACCCGCCATCTTTGGAATCCCAGCAAAGTGCCGTAGCACCCCTCCCACACCACATATCCTTGATTCTTTCCTCCAAGCCTCATCACAATTCAATTTTAAGCTTCCAAAGTCCGGCTTTCGCCATCCATTCACAACCCCCTCAATCTGAAATTTTTTCCCTGCTTCCTCCTGCCTTCTCCTTCGATCTCCTGCTCCATCATCTTCAACCGTAGCCGCATTAAATTCCGTAACCTGACGCTACCACAAATTGACAACAATGTGAAGCAAAATTCGATTACCGTTAAACACAACTTCATTCCTACATTTCCAGATACGTCATGACCAAACGCAATCTGTTGAAGTACCGAATCCTCATTCATCCCTAGTCCCACACGGTCCAAGAGCTTTTTCCATCCCACCTTAAACTCTTTTGAGCCAAGTGATCCCATATCAATCTGCAATGAAGTACCAAACCAGAAGGCTCGGCTGAACTCACAATTAAAGAACAAATGCGCCTCCGTTTCGTCAGCGGCACCACATAGTTCACAAACATTTAAGACCCGAATACGACGCCGTTCCAATTTATGTCACACCGCAAGAGAATGATGACACGCTCTCCAAAGAAACAACTTAATTTTATTAGGAACCATCATACGCCAAATCTTCTTCCAGAACCCACCCATGGGTTTTTGTGGGTTTAACTTATTTGCAATCCAAAAATCTCATTTTTCACATTTCATAAGCGAATTTTTTTTTCATTTGGAATGCAAAATGAGAGTTTTGGAGTGCCAATAACAATTCTCTTGATTTTTTTTTTTTGTTTAGTATATTAATATTTTTACACTAAGGGGAGGGGAAGTTCGGCTAGCCACACAATGGGCAATCTAATTTTGTATCGAATTCGTCATCCACGAAATTCAAACTTAACGCCTCACTTTAAAATCCGAACTTTAATGGTTTTGGCCCAGAACGGAGACTTTGCCAAAAGTTATGCTTTCCTTCGCATTGGGTTTTTTTATCGGAAACTTCATTGTCATTTCTATAAAAATAACAGAGTACAAGAGATTTAGGGGTGAAAGACAAGCCTCGTTAAAAACCTTCAGAGAAGGGAAAAAAGAGTACTTCGCCAAATTACTCCCATTTACATTCAATTATCACTCTCCAAAATCTACTTCCAAGAAAGGAGCAAGCCAAATTGGCTCCTCCTCTATCCATGTATGAAATCCTTCATTATAAAGCCCAAATTCGCTTAGCTGGAATTTCACTTGGGGAAGGAATGTCAGTTTTACAAGGATAAAGATGTTTTCAATACCGAGACATCCTTCTGCGATCAAATTCATTAAAGATATAAAAACGTCGAAAGCCTAATCGGAAATGTACTTGGACTTGTCCGAGCTGAAGTTTCGTTTGAAAAGGAGTTTGAGTCCTGAACGGAGTGTGATTATCTGGAGGTGAGACTTGCAATCACTATAAATACAAGGCATTTGGCAACGAGAAAAGGGTCTCAAACCAATCAATCAAATATCTCACGCTCTACGCGTTTCACCAAACCTTTGCTCCGGTCGTGGTATTTACTAACTACCTAATTAACCAGGCGATTTGCGACATCTCCGACTAAGGTGAAGCTGAAGTGTTGTACTCACTGGAGTCTACAACGGACAACAACGAAAGTCCCTACGAAGAAGTTAACCGCGATGCTTGACTATAGGGGTCACTCGGGTGTTCTCCACTTGTTCATGTGTGAATTATATCATGTAATAGCTCAAGTCTGGCACCAGCACGACCATATATACCCCATTTTTTATCACGACCATCGTGACGTTTGAGTACCTCTGTCCGATTATTCTTATTTTCGTTCGCAAATCCTTTAAGTTTGAGGAAATCATGATCAAGTCCGAGCCCCGTTCAGAGGATATAGACTATAAAAGTAATTAGAACGACCTTGTCTAATTTTGTGAAATATCTCTCTTTCTCTCTCTCTGGTTTGACTTATGTAGATACTCAGTTTGATACCAAATTATGATGCCTAGCTCATTGTATGGCTTAGCCTCACTCCCCTATCCCTTAGTGTACATATATCGTTATATTTTTTCTTGAAACATTTTAAATCAATTCCACATTTAAATATATTATATATATACATTCCCTCCAAAATTTTGGCTAATACATCTTCAGGTTTGAGTTACGTGCAACAATTATAAAAGCGAAGAATAATGAGATCATCATTAATAACCAAAATCACTCCTTATTAGCAAGGTAAACTAATAACTGACCTATAACTCTAGTTGTACCATCTTTTTAGAATAGCAATTCTCATGGCCTCATCACTTGTGAAACCCTTAGGCACTCTTGCCACAACATCTTGAAGCATCAACTCTTTCACACTTGATATGCTTGCATGATAAACTTGTAACTCCAGGTCTTTGAGTGCATTCATCAATCTAGCATTAGGGTAATTGCAATCCGGACACTGAACTCGTATCATGGCTTCTGAGCCTACGATCTTCACATCTATTTCCACAGCCCCAGCTGCGCTATTATTATAACTTGATGATAGCCTAGGCCTTGTTTGATGATGATCAACCATGGAGCTTGTTTGGCCTCCAATATCAACACCAGGCTTTTGAGGTTGTGCGTGAATTTTGGCCTCCAATTGCCCAATCCTTGCTTTCAGATCATTGATGTATACAACTGCATCAGAAAGTAAAGAAGCTTTGTCCATTCTGGACACATTGGGAACGACAGAGCGGAGGGCATAGAATCGATGGTTAAGCTTCTCTCGCCTTTGTCTTTCAGCCTCAACATGGTTTATTGGTGATTCTGTTCTACCTGTTTCACGGTTTGATGATCTTCCTCTCTTTTTTAATCGAATGTTCTCAGTATTCTCAGAGGTTAAATTTCCAACAGAGTCAGAAGGTCCTGAGTCTGATGACGATCCACTTACATTTGCAGGAGCTGCTTCTTTTGTACGACCTTCAAGTCAAAATATTTAACTTTCATGTCAATGAAATATTGAGTGTTAAAATACACAATATCAATAAAATATCGTATCTGGAGATCATGTTACGTGAGTACTTTAAATGAAAAGAAATCGTAAATATCATCCAAACGGAAAAGATTGTTTGGTATTGGACATCAATCTACATACATCATTGTCTAGACGATACTAGTTGGATGCATTGGTATTTGCTACCAGTATAGCTTACTGTATCAAAAAATTTGAACCGGTTTGCTTACCTTGTGTTGCCCACTCTTTATCAGCTCCTGAAAACATTCCACTTTCTAAGAGAGAAACATGTACCTGGTCCTCACGGCTGCTGCTCAGCTGCTTTGGGACCACGTTCTTGTTGTCTGATTCGAAAAGTGATTTTGATAGCTGCAGAAGACCCCAATCTTCTTTGATCACATCCAAAGATGCGAGTTCAAGTACTCCACATGAAGTTGCAATACAAACCAAAGTTTGAATTCCGTGCATTCTTGCTTCTTTCACTCTCTCACACTCATAGAATTGAAGCTCATGATCACCTGCCAGCCAAACAAAACCACCAGAACAAAACGTACGGCCCAGAATGTTACTATTACCGTGGCCGGCAGTAAATGACTGGGTTAAAGAGGCTGTGTAAAAGTAAAACCATTGAGCGTCAGTAACATCTCCACCGTCCAAATCCACGTCTTCATGGAAAAGAGCTTCAACTTCTCTGCTAATCGCCCTCTTCTTCTCTACAACATTGAACCCGAATCCGGGTTGGTGTTTGTGGTAACTTCTTTTGGAGGCCAAGTCCCTAGTGCTTCGAAAATGGCCGCCGGCCCACGACAAAGAAACTAGGTCACTGTCGTGTTTTGAGGGTTGCCAGAAAATTGAATAGACCCACCATTCAGGGCGGTTCTGAACTATGAACTGGAGGCGTTGAAGTGTGGGTGAGTTTTCTTGACAAAACTTTTGAGAAGTACAAGAGGATATAATTTCCTCCATGGTTTTCCTTTTTTCCTTTTTTTCTTTTTCAGAAGCCTCGATGGTATGGGAGGAGTTTATGGAATCAAAAGGCATACATTTTTGCTTGCTAATGACTATTATGTAAAGAAAAGTTTGGCTACAAATTAAGAAGTCAGAAATGAATAGTAGAATTTGAGACAATGGAAGAAGAAATTGAGTGAGTGAGTGAGAAGCAATGGAAGAGGAAATTGAGTGAGTGAGGCTCTCAATGCTCGGACTGGATATTTATAAAGGAAAACCTACGTACGACCAATTCCTGTACAATTGAAAGTGTTGATAGTGCAACGTGATAAACACACCACACAGTAGAGCCTTTGAATCTAGCTCATTTTCGTAGGTTATTTGGGAACTTCTCTCATCCGTCTATTCTGAAAATGAATAATTGGTCTTCGATTTTATTTCACTACTTTCTTGTGCTTAATTCAATTCTTTCTTCATTTCTATGGAGAGGATCCTCTCCGGAACATTTCCACCAAATCATCTAATCCAGACCTTTGAAATTTGATCCAACGGCTGAAATTATTATAACTTTTAAAAATGTCTCTTATTTATAGCTATTGGATCAAATTTTAAGGGCCCGGATTAATTGATTGGGTGGATTTGGTGGAAATGATCCGGAGATGATCCCTTTTCCATTTCTATGACTGATAGATTGTTTTCTAGTTTTCTTCATTTCATCATGTGAAAGAAATTTTGAAACCGTGTTTGGAAAAGAGTAGGGTTGCAAGTTTTCCTTTAGATAACGGGTAGGTTCTAAGTCTTTATCGTACAACTAATAATTCTTTCCATATTAACTTAAGCGTTGGAAAATAGAATTCCAAATGGGTTATATAACAAAATAATATACAATTAACATATAAGACTTTCTATCTATAATATCACCGAAATCTTTTAAAACTCCAAATGGGTTACATAACAAAATAATATACAATTAATATATAAGACTTTCTATCTATAATATCACCGAAATCTTTTATAATAAAACTCAATCCTATCAATAAGTTAACAACCTAATTAACCTCTTAGTTAACCAACCGTTAGCTTATGTTCACACTGTCTTGGTTGACACGGCTCTTATGGGTCCAATAGAGAATAGATATTTTGGCTTTTTCCTCTTTAGGTTAAATCAATCAATGTCGATCATTTTCCCTTTTCTTTTTCATGTCATGACCCACGAGAGACGAGATTTCCAATTGCCCTTGCAATTGGATTGAATTGCTCCACAGCCCAGAAAAAAATTGCTCCAGCAGAGGAAAGACTGGAGGGCGATTAGGCGAAAGGCAGATGCCCCATTACTTGCCCTTGCAAGTTTTGCCTGGGCTTGCGCCCTTCTACTTATTGAATAGGCTATGTTTAGTTTCATTCAGATTATAATTCTGCAATAAACTATTTTTCAATTAACAATGTCAAGCTATATTTATATATCATATCCAACCGAATGAGCTATTTTTTAACCCCCTTCCTAATTTATTATTTTAAGTTTGTTCTTTAATTTTATTGGTTGATTGAATTAAACTATCATATCAAAATAAGGTTTCCAGATATATTTTGAGTGTCACTTGTCGCTAAATGAATAAGCATCTGGATTTCTCATCTTTATATAATCTCAAAAAAAATTCAGATATGATTTTGAGTGACACGTTAGGTTTCATATTGTTTAAGTTTCATGTTATTAAATATTTTAATTTTACCTGCACGTCAACAATTTAGACATTAATTCAAAGATCACAATTTAGTTGAAAGACAACTTAACTAAAATACAACATCTTAAAATATTAAAACTACAAAAACTTAAATATTAAAACTACAACAACTTAGATTTTTTTTTTTTTTTTGGGTGTGATATCCATACACCCCTTTTTACTTCTCCCACACTTTTTTAGTTTCCGGCCGTCAGATATGATGAATTGAAGAAGATCAACAAACATAAATTAACAAGGGGTGTGTGAGATGTAAAAAGAGGTGCGTAGATAGCACACGTTTTTTTTTAGGTGAAAAGAGAGGATTTGATTAATTAGCAGTAATAGATTCCTAAACCAAAAACAAAGATAGGGATAAAGCATATTACAATTACAAAACCCTAATCTAATCATGCTCTCATGTCCTACTTTTTTTTCCCCACAGTAACAGCAAATAGCTTTTTGTACAACCAGGTGGAATGTTGGCTTTCTTTTGGAAGCAGTTTAATTAACCCATCAAAATATCAGCTACCTAGATACAAAGGCAGTAAAAGGCTAGCAAATCGCCACCAAAGAGAGCTGGGATTTTGCTTGGAAAATGGAGGTGCTGAAGAGCCTACAGATCCGGGCCAACAGGATCCTCTCCGGATCTTTTTGGTGAGGATCGTAGAGATCCGTAAATCGTGTCCGTTCATCGTACATTATGTGATCAGTTTTTGTCAAGTATTGTTTGTGTTTAGTTTTAAATAAAAATATTTAAAATAATTTATAACCACAAGATGTATGATGAACGGACAAGATTGATAGATCCCTGGGATCCTCACAAAGAGGATCCGGCAAGGATTCGGATTCAGATCCGGGCACAGCATAGACGCATTTTCCGTGACTTAGATATTAAAGATTACAACAAATTAGGAGTTTAAAGAACGTGAAGAATTGAAATAAAATGAGATAATATAGTATGGAAATGTGAAAATGATGTGAGAAATGGTGTAGAAATAGCTTAGGTATGTATGAAAAAAAAATTAGATTTTTTTAATTTTGTACTAAAACAAAAAATTTAAAATCTAACGGCTAACTGACGTCAGCTAGCAAGTGAGCTGTTGTGAGCTTGGGCCCCTCAAATGGGCTGGCTGACTAGCTCAAAATGCCCAACTTGATAGCCAAAGGGCTTGAATTTGGCCTTGTGGGTCCCTTTTTCTTTTGGCTCAAACCTCTATTGGAGATGAGTTTTGTTTCATTTCAGGCTAAAATATAGCATATGGCCTAATCCATTAGAGATGGCTTGAACCACCATTTACTACAGCCAAAATCCCAACAAATTAATTTAAATTAAATTAAACACACATAGAATTAATCACACTTAAACAAATTAATTAATTTTTTTAATTAATTATGCTTGTATGTAATGCTATATTTTCTTTAGATTTAAAATTAAACTATCGGAGTTAACAAAGAGTTTTATTTTCAAAGAACAAACTTACTATAAGTACACACTTATAAGGCATACAAAATAAAAAATGTGTATGTGAATAGTAACCGCCTTTGCCCTTGCACTTGCCTATTCCCTTCTCAAACTAGTGGACTTGCACAAAGGTTGGTACTATTTAGAGTGAATAGTAAATGTCATTTCACTGTCATTGTCCTTGCAGTGCCATTTCACTGTCATTGCCCTTGCCTTGCCATTGCCCTCCTAAAACGGGTGGAGATGCTCTAATGACTAGGGTTTGATGTACGGTTAAAATAAGTCACATAGTATTATGGTCTAATGATATTTCACTCACTTAGAAGTGAAAGGTCTTAGGTTCAAATCTTGTGAATGTTGGATACAAAACCAATTTATTTTTCATGCATTTTATATCAAAATGAAGCCCTAAGCATGTAGAATCACGTTACACTACTTTAAGGTTAAAAAACATACGAAATCTCACCGGAGAAATTCCAAGAAAACCGGCCAACTTCGAACCCGGCGATCCCGACGTCCAAAACCTTCAAACTAAACACTCCGAGCTTCCTTGGGACCTCACTAAGCTCCATGTAAGCTTAGAATTCCCTGAAAGTCAACAATTCACGTGTGCATGAACAGTGACATCAAACTGGGGTTTGGATTTCACGTGATTTCGAAGGTTTCCAGTCTAAAAGTAACACCATTTGAATCAGGAGGTTAAAAGGATGAAGAAACTCACCTTTTTAGCTTCAATCCACGAAGAAATTGAGGGATTGGTGCTTTGGTCCGTACGTGTTCGAGAGGAAGAGAGAGAACTGCGAGGGAAGAGAGAGAGCACGGGGAAGGAAAGGGTTTGTCCCGTGTGTGTGTGTGTGGTCCACCCAAAACAAGTCACTCTTTATTTCCCTAACCACACAAATATACACACATCCCTTAATCCAACTTAAATTTTCCAAAACTTAGGAAAATATGCATTATTCAAAACATGCCACACACATACCTTAGTAACCAACAAGGGTACTTTCGTCATTTCACAACCTCGATAAATAGAATCTCGGGACGGGCTGTGATACCTGTGGTGAAGTCTGTTAGGATTTAGGCCTAAAATTGAAAATTTCATTAGCTCCCAGTTAGTCATTAGCACGTGAGCCACATATATTAGGCTAAAACGGAGCTCTCCGTTAATTGTTACCACGTGAACCTCATGTGTTAACAATTAACAGATAGTTGACAAAATTTTTAATTTTGGACCTAAATCCTAACAGATTTTACCTTAAGGGCTTAAATACTCTTTTTTTACCACATGAGCTATCTTCCGACTATCCTATCACCATGAGGACTATTAATCCAATTATGTCTAGGTTATTTTCTATTTATTTATTATTATTAATCAGCACACATGCTCTACGTGTACAAACTAAGTTTGTTTTTTATTTTACTACGATTTATCATTAATGAGCAATTATGACAATTGAAAAAAAAAAAGAGAAATGATAAAAAGGAAAAAGAAAAGGAGTGGGTGGGAGAACATGGGGAATGCACAGAGAGGAAGAGAAGAGAAGTGGTGTTTTTTATTTATTTTTTAATTTTAAAATGGGATATGCTATATTTACATGGCTACGAGGTTAGTGTAAAAAATAATAAAATTTATGTGATGCAATAACTGAATTGTCCACAATTTTTTTTTTTTTTTTTTTGTTCAATTATGGTGAAATGGTTAGAATGGTGATTTGTTGGAGCTTTGATTGACAAACAGGATTCTATTAATAAATAGTTTAGATTAAAAAATTATATAGTATATTTATGGGATACAAAAACATCAGGGGCCCCTATTCAATTGGCACATATTGCTCCTCCTCAGAGCCGGCACTATTTAGACCCAAAGGAAATTACAAAAAATAAAATAAAAATTAAATCGAAATTGAATCTATTGAATTTTTACGAAAAATTGCATCCGGTGCAATTATATTGATCTTTAAATTTAGATAATTTGATTGGTGGATTACCTTGTGGATACATTATTTCTCTTCAGTACTATACCACTTAGGTTTAAATCTTCCCCCTCCTTCCTCCCCACCCCTT